GCCTTTACGATGGACATTCGTAAAGGACTAATTAAGAATAAAAAATGTTAATGTTCTTGCATGGCCTTCGCAAACCCCGGACCTAAACCCTATAGAACATCTCTGGGAGCATGATAAAAGACAAGTGACAAGAAAAACTTTAAAAAATTGGAACGATTTATTTGATTTTTTCAAGAATATTTGGCAAAATAACCCAACTGACGTCTGTAAAAAATTAGTGTCTTCTACGAGCAGCAAATGTCAGGCAGTGTTGAATGCTAAAGGCTATGCTACCAAATATTAGCTAGACTGTTTTTTTTTTAAATATGTTTTTAATTTTGTAATGAAGAATATGTTTCCATACTTTTCTCGTCTCATTTTCGGTCGTAAAATAATATGAAGGTATTCCAGCGCTAGTCTGTAGTACCACAGCAAGCACAAATAATTGTCATTTGTATCCTCAAGACTGTAAGCAAACTATATGAGAAAAAAATAGTCCTTAATAATAAAGAATAAAAAATTATCACACTTTTTGAAAATTACTAAGAATGTTTCTAAACTTTTGTCCGCTCCTGTAGGTCAAGAAAAAATTACGCAAGATCAATTTTGACTACCTCTTGTCAAACCTTGGTTCTAAAGATACATACACTACACGTTTTACTGTCAAGATTTCGAACCAAATCCAAATTGCGTCTCATAGGCATTTTGAAACTGTAATTAAAAAATTCTTGCGGTCACTATCCTACTATTCTATATTAACATTCCTTGAGATTTAAATTGCCGTTGAATGGAGTAACATATTTATTGTATTGGTTCTTCGGAATAACTCCATGTCTAACTGCCCATTCAGGCCTTCGAACGTGCCTCTATAATTTAACTGAATTATGGTCTATACAATTTCAAAAATAACATACTTTTTATAAATGTAATTGTATATTTCACTAAATTCATCCATATGGATACAAGTACTTAAAATCTTGTTCTGAATACATTCAAATCATTTCGCAAGCTGAACTCACACCCATCCTGACGTTTCTATGTATACAATTCATATTTATATGTATATCCTATACTATGTGTCGGATAAACCCATAAAGTATATTTTATCACCGCGTAAATTTGATTTTAATAACCTATCATTTGTTATCCCATGAGTTAAACCTAAAACATTCAGATATATATGCTATATCGTGTCTGCCATTGTAAACATTTATGATGATTCGTTCATGATTAATTGCAATTGTTTTTGCTTTGCTGCATTTCCATTTTGATTTATCCCTGCCGTATTTGGAGTATAACGGTATTCAATAAGAGATTCAATTTGCAGCACTATGAATAACTATGAACATCTGCCTAAAAAAGTGTCGTGTGCTGGGGATCCCACTATATTTTTCTGATCTATTTCTTCCACTGAACACGAATCTGAAGTCAGAATACGGGATCGACGGGCTAATATTACTTATCTTCGTTTCAAGATTGCCATTTTATAATATTTTTCCACGTAAATATGAATTCCATATATAATTAAAAAGAACCATTTGAATTCAACATGCTCACAAATACTGCTAATTTGGTATAAATTTAATTTTTGTGATTTCGTAAAAATATCTTGATTTTTAGCCATTTCTGCTACCATTTTCAATTCCGCCTCAATAATTTTCACACTTTCGACATTTTAGAACAACTAACATTAATGTTTTTTGTGTATTAAGACTACTTGCCAAATAATTATTTTTGCCTCGCTTTATCAACACATTTTTATACATAAATCTTACTTGTGAACAGCCCTCGTATATATGTGAAAAAAGTGTTCAAAATATTCCGTTACTGCAAAAGATATTATTTTTTTTATGGGGGTCCGTATTTATATTAAAGGAAAAAGTATATTTGCCATGCAGCTGAAACTTTAGAATATGTATATAGAAAATTTCGTCTCTCAATTTGGTCTGGAACAAAAGTTAACAGACACTGTATAATATAAAATAGTTTTTTTTAAATATTTCGAACAATATTTGATGTATAACAGTGAAAATTGGTATACAAGGGTTTTTTGGTACGACAAAACGAACCATGGGCATAGTCTTACTGTAGCCGCTAGAGGGCGCTCTCTACTGTACCTGTAGTGTATTAAAATGACCGACAATTTTTTCTTAGTGCAATTTTTTGCTTTTTGAATAAAAAAACTGATTCTTCGCACTTTTCAACATAAAAAAGCTCTCCTGTGAGTTTTCGTTATAGTTAGCCGTTTTTGAGATATTTCGATTTTTAAGGTTCGATGCATTTTTAATTATTTATGGGAAAATAATATTTTTTTACGTTTTCGATTTGGGCATTAGAAGTAATTAAGATGATCGTTTAGATTGTGTTTTTAAACACAGCAATAATTCCTAACTCCAAATAAACACAAAAAAACAGAATATTAATTTGTTTAATTTTCCAATATTATTTTTAACAAATTAAATTAATTATTTACAACTAAAATGCTATTGGATAGTTAGGACAAACATACAAAATCTAAAGTCGTTGCTCGAAATGTAAACCCAATTGTTCAATACAAAATTCACATCTACGAATGATCGAACGTGGTATAGCATTATTCAAATAAGGCCTTATTTTATCATATGCATTCCTGATTCTGTCTATCTTTTGTGGTTACGGGAGTCTGGTACACTTTTTCTTTTAGAAATCCCCACACAAAGAAATCTAATGGATTTAGGTCAGGAGATCGTGGAGGCCAGGCGACTGGTCCTCCACGGCCGATCCATCTTTCTGGATAATTTTCGTCCAGCCAGTTTCTAACTATTCTCGAATAATGAGCTGGACAACCATCAAGCTGGAACCAGGCCAATCTTCTTAAATCTAACATAACATCATCCCACATATTTGCATGTTCAGCCTTTAAAAATGCCAAGAAGGTCGCAGCATTTAACCTTGCAAGCAAAATGTAGGGTCCAAATAGTCGATTACGGGAGATACCAATCCACAGGTTCACACTAAATTCATGCTGAAAATTTCTTTCCCAAACAGCATACGGATTTTCATGCGACCAAATATGTTGATTTTGACAATTTACCACTCCACGTCTAGTGAAGCATGACTCATCGTTCCATAAAACGTTACTTAAAAACTCCCTATTAGTATCAGTTCTATCAAGAATCCACTGACAAAATGTGATTCTTCGTTCTCCGTCCCCTGGCTGTAGCCTTGCACAGGTTGCAAATGGTAAGGACGTCTATGGTCATTTCTAAGAACACGGTGAACATGGCTTGCTGAAATTCCCAAGGCACCTGAAACTCTCCTAACACTTGTGGTCGGATCTCTATCAAACTCACGCAGAATCATACGGGTAAATCTGCGCTGACGAACATTTATGTTTTGATCCCTTTGTCTGTTTGGAAATCTTCGTGCGTATTCTCTGGCTGCTTCTGCTGCGTTTCCATTTACAAAGCCATACACAAAATGAATATCCGCTAACTCTTGATTGGAGAATAAAAATGGCATTTTTATAAAACTTACAAAAAAACAGGTAAAAGAAACTAAATTTCGTGCATTCACAATTGCAAAAAAACGTTTCAGGTTTCAACAGACAACAAAACTAACTGTCAACTCATTGACGTTTAACCTTATTCTGCTTTCAATTTCAAAAATATTTGCAGGCTCAGCCTACTTCTAAAAATTATCGAGATTTTACGTTATTTTATCATAAATAATTAAAAATGCATCGAACCTTAAAAATCGAAATATGTCAAAAACGACTAACTATAACGATAACTCACAGGAGAGCTTTTTTATGTTGAAAAGTGCGAAGAATCAGTTTTTTTATTCAAAAAGCAAAAAATTGCACTAAGAAAAATGTTTCGGTCATTTTGATACACTACAGGTACAGTAGAGAGCGCCCTCTAGCGGTTACAGTAAAACTATGCCCATAGTTCGTTTTGTCGTACCAAAAAACCCTTGTATACCAATTTTCACTGTTATACATCAAATATTGTTCGAAATATTTAAAAAAAAAACTATTTTAGATAGTAAATTTAAACACCCTGTATTTCGGAAGTCACGCATTTTTGAACCCATGCTTATATAGACTTTATGCATTAATTTTAAAAGTTCTATCGAATCTTAAAGTTATGCAACAATAAACTGAAACACCCTGTATAAAAAAGTAGAAGTTTTTTGTGAAAGTTTTCTATCGAACAGAATATTATAATAATTACGTAAAACTTGAAAAAATATGTTCAAATTTGTAGACATGTGTGCCCTGAAAACTAATATATGAAGAAATCGCTAATTCGGAGACAGATGTTTTGTGAGCAATTGCTGAAGCTGTATCACTGTAAAATTGAATGAAATTTTCTAACTGGTGATCTTCCAGAAAAATTTTGTTGACTAAGCTCAGAGAATTGCCAGAAAGTTCAACACCATTCAAAACCGGAGTTTGGGAATAATCTGAGCCTTTTTGTTTTCTTCGCATTGCATTGTTTTTTATAAATAAAGCGGCATTGCTTCCTATGACAATATATCGTTTCGCTCAAAATCGGCGAAGCAGGTTCTGCGATACAGAATACACCATCAAAAACAGATAGACCGACAGATAGAAATTAATTGTAGTTATAAATCACTACTACTCGTCTTTGCTTCTCAAGGCGGTCCGGAGGACCTTAGCCTTTAGGTTATAGTCACTGTAATGTCAGTGTCTGTCGACAGTCTGTCAGGTCTGGTGGTCCTGAAACCAGACTAGTTGTAGGGGAAAGGGGAGAGGAAGAAAGAAAGGAAGGAAGTAGGAGCGAGAAGAGAAAGAAAACTAAATTGTTTTATGTAAATATTTAAATATTTGAGGTGTGACAGATCTAAGGACTGTTCATTGTACTATATAAATTTTTGACTTGTTCTGAACTGGATTTTGGATCTGTGGTTTTTAAAAACTATAATTTTTAAAGGTATAAGCATAAATTTAATTTTGTTCTGAGAGTTCTACTCTGCAGAACTTATTGTTTACGCATAAGTCACTTAGCTAAAAAGCACCAAGCCGCACATGCATAGGTTATTGCAGGTCTGGTTGACATATATTGATATTTGATATCTACTTATCAATTCTTTGTATGTATTTTATATTTTACTCTTTTCGTAATAAACGTGTTCTGTGTCATCCCATGATAATTTTGCAGAATCAACATATTATCTATCTATCTATGTTTTGATTAGAGACATTTTGGTTTTTGAAAGTATATCTTGCTTCTCAGATAAAAGGTCGAGTTTATTGACAGTATGGTTAAACGTATTTTGTATTTGGTTTCAGGTCCAGTCGTTGGTGGCAACCGCCTCGATGTACCCGTTGTTCCTGGTAATCCTGCTGGTTCCCGCTGCCTGCGGCATCGGCTGTCCTCCGGGATGCGAGTGCAACGACGACACTTTCGTAGTGCAGTGCGTTCATGGCAGGCTAGACGTCATTCCTATCACGCTTAACCCCGCCATACAGCGGTTAGTCTTGAAAAGCAACAGGATAAGGTACGTATTCCATTTTTTACCAGAAGTTAATTGTTATTGCGGTAGAAAGGCTCAATTCATGCAACGGTTGTTCGGATATAAGGATGGAAAAAAATAGTGTTCCTTAAGGTTTTCACTTAATTTGTCGCCTTCACCAAGCTTAGGGTAGGAAAAAAGATGCTCTTTGGACACACATAAAACGATGTGTAAAAATATGAAAGACAAAAATACTTAAAGGTTTTCACCTTTACAACACTGAAGTAACTTTTTTCAAATTGCCAGAATGCTAAAGTGAAATGAAGGCATCATTAACTTTTTATCTCTCTAAAGAGAATTAATCCGAATCATAGAAACGCTCATCCACAAGTATACAATTCATATTTCATGAAAAAACAAAATCCAGCAGTTAAACTGTATCGAATTCTTATTTTAAGCTCCATAAAACGTCCATAAAGCGTTAACGAAATTTGGAAATCATCAATCCAGATTAGTTATTTAGTTGGTATTTTCATACCTGCGTTAGTTTTGACGATTAGCAAAGCCAAAAATTAACTTTTTTTCAGGTCGGTAGATTCAGCCCTACAGTTCTACAGGGATCTGAGGTACATCGACCTATCCAGCAACCATTTGGTGTCGATACCATCTGGCAACTTTCTGTACCAAGAACGGTTACAGGAGCTCCATCTCTATAATAACACTTTATCATCAATAAACACAACTACGTTTCAAGGTAAGTTATATGTCTGATATGAATAGAATATTATATTACTATGCTTTTTTAATCAAATGATATGAGAAGCGAAGGATACCTAGAATGTTTCAACATTCATCAATTGGCAGTAAGCAATAAAAAACAATGTCCGACTATTTTATGAGAATGTGTAAAATTTGATAGATGTTTCCCAGTCATCCATCTTTCAACTCATTGCAAAGAGAATACCATAGCTGTGTAAGTATACTGTAAAAGAAGCCTAAACGCAGCTGGGACTTTGAAGCTGTTGATAGAGAAATATTTTAAATCCGACTAAAAATCGTTGCTCTTTAATGCAAGCTATGCCAATTTTTAGGTAGCACCTCCCTCTTGAATAAAGTGACTCTCATTTTACAGGCTTAAAATCCCTCACCGTCCTGAACCTACGTAAGAACTACCTGGACGAACTCCCAAAAAGGCTGTTCTCGACCCTGACCAAGATAGAAGAGCTGGATCTAGGTGAAAACTCAATTTCAAGAATCGATCCCCTAGCTTTCGACGGCCTTCGAAATCTGCGGGTGCTCTACTTGGACGATAACAACCTCAGCATGGTTCCAACACCTACTTTCTCTGTAATCGGTAGCCTAGCGGAGCTTCACGTGGGTCACAACGGGTTCACGATACTTCCCGACGATTCTTTCAAGGTAAGCAATTTTCGAACTGTGTTATAACGTCTAACCTAACGAGATCCAAACCCGGAACTACAGACCAAGTAACGTCTTGGATGGAGCAAATGACATTCCCTGACTTGGTAGATCTACTACTACTGAGCTACTGATGAATAGAAAATAACAGATCACTTTTTTCCAAAGGTAACATCCAGACCAAGAAACACTTATGTTACCATTGATACCAACCTGAAGATAACCAACTAAAATAGGCATTAGACAGACCAAAAAGAGATTGAGGACCCTACAGCCATTTATAAGACTGTAGGGCCCAATTATAGTTCTATTGCAAGTAATGGATCAAATGAATGGAGTCGATTTGTCCTAAAACATCTGTCAAAAGATATACACGTTGTGTAAGAAGAGCCTCTGGTCCCCATATTAAATCACGAAGTTCTTTATAAACCACCTGGTTCAGCTACAAAAACATATTTTCCACTTGACCCGGAAACCAAAACCTATGATCCAGATTAACAATGATCAACTAGACAGTGTTTTCATAAAACTTCGTCAAAAATTCGCAAATCGGAAACAAGTATCATAAACCCAACTTGCAGTATATATCGGTTGTTAACTAGGTGCAGACTCCAACAAACTCCCTAGTTCTCTCTCATTATCACATGTTTTTGCTGCTGTACCTAATCCGTATGCCGCCCCTCCAAGGTAAATAGAGATATTTCGGGATTACAATTATTTCAGATACCTTATCTGCTTTAGACTAATGTATACTGTAGCCTTTGCTTTATTAAATTTTGGAAAAAAAATGATAGAGAGCAGTTACGAAACTATACAACAAAAACGGTCTGTAATAACATGAAACCTGTAAAATATATAATGGAAACCCCTCTTTCTTCTGCTTCTTTGTTGGCTAGAGATGGGGGTGTGTATTCGAATTAATATAATTCAGATAATATCGATTCTGGGCCTTCTAGCATGATGGTGTTCGACTACGTCTCGTCAAAGTTTGATTATGATGAATCCATCGCAGAATTATGGTAAAATATCGATGTAAGTGCCGCAAAGAATAGTGGATCTACTTACAGATTACTTAATAATCTGACACCGAAACTATCCAGATGAAACTGTAATAAACTTACTAATTACACAGTGTATTAAAAACCGCTACCTTGAATCCGGATGAAACTGTATTAAACTTTCTACCTTCTAACTTTACTAAAAACCATTATCTTAAATAACATCGACCACACACAACTCTGCATGACATTCAAAATAAGTTCGCACTGATCGTAGCTGCACTTGGAACAACTCTTTATCGTAACCGAATTTTCTAAAGATGGCGATCGATAGTCAAGTTAACTAACGAACTTCATCAACACTGGTTTAATTCATGCTTGCAAAGATATCCGGTGTGAGTACTGTGCTTATGCATTGATTAACATATTCCTCACGGCGTTGAATCACCCTAATACTTGTGGATATCTGCCTCCCATTCCCATTTCTAGTATTTGTTTTCCCTCTACTCTTGACAGTTGATACATTTGTAGTGCTGCCAGGCTAATAACAGTGAACATAAATAATATGTATTAACACACAAATATTTGTTATATACTAAGTGACATATAAAACCGAACACCCAGTTTAAATGGTTTTATTTTAATAAAAGTTGGTGAATGTATTTATCTTACTGTAAATAACAAGTGTAAAAATTTTCAGCCTTATCAGTTGGACATTCCGGTTTTTATACTGCTTTTTTTTAATTCACTACTAAAAATGAATATTTCAGCCGCAGTAAAGAATCAACGTTGGCGGATTTTGGTTCTTGACTTCCTTTACGATCGGTTACGATGCCTGGAGTACGGAGACCTGTACGATTTCGTCAACTTAGTGAGTTTGATAGGGGCCGTATAGTAGGACTTCGAGAAGCTGGACTTTCTTTTCGGGCAATTGCAGTTAGAGTGCAAAGAAGTGTAGACGCTGTGGTTAGGTGTTGTCAGGCATGGCTTCGAGAAGGCCGTACGCAAAGAGCAAGGGGCACTGGACGCCGCCGTAGAACAACAGACCGTGAAGGTCGCCGCCTAAGATTATTGGCCTTAAGGGACCGTTTCTCCTCTACCAGGTCCATTGCAAATGAATGGTTTGCAGAACACGGAAGACCTATTGGCATGCGAAGTGTTTACCGACGGATGAGAAGTTTTGGCTTGTTTTCATACCGGCCACACTGGGTCCTCCCTTTAACTCGAGAACACCGACGTAATCGCCTTGAGTAGTGCAGACAACGGTCACTCTGGGATCAGGAATGGAACAGTATTGCCTTTAGTGACGAGTCTCGATTTTGTTTAGGCATGCACGATGGTCGTGCCAGGGTTAGAAGGCGACGTGGTGAAAGGAGGAATCCACAGTTTTTTGTTGAAAGACATGTTCATCACACTGTTGGAGTTATGGTTTGGGGTGCTATAGCTTATACTTATACAAAATTTTATTAAAATAAAACCACTTAAACTGGGTGTTCGAATTTATATGTCACTTAGTATATTAACACATGGTAGTTGAACCTAATAGCATTGGAAATACGACCAATCTAACGTTTGTATTGTGGATCTACCGCGATTTCAGTATCACGACTTTTCGTTGAACAACTTGATGTGGTACTGTGGTAGCACTGGAAAGTTCTGTAACTGGGCAGCTGAGCTGATGAGAGTCAGTCCTGCTATCAACGGTTTCAAGTATGATAAAGATTTTTCTGTTTTCTTTCTTTTCCCGAAGAAGCGTTCATTAGTTATACCTGTATGCATACTGAAATAGTTTTATTAAAAATATGATTGCCAATACTTCGCACAAATATCGCGGACACACAGAGGACGTGTGTGCCAAATAGTCTACAAATTACAAGATTAGACGTCAATTTAATCGACAATGGACACGTTGATGCATTTTTAAAAATATATCCTTTTTTTAAATTCTCTCACTGTTTTTTTTTAATAAAGTACTCTGTAATTGATGTCATATCAATCTATGAATTATATCAATTTTGATCCACGATTTGGGCAAGGATTAAAGGCTCCTCTCTGATTGGCCAATTTTCGATGCAATGTTACGAAAACGCTTTCTAGTTTGTCATTGTCGATCATATGTTAGAACTGCGGATCAACTGAAAAAATATGATTTTGTAGCTAAACCAGGTGATTTATAAAGAATTTCCTGATTCAATATCAAACACAAATCGTATATTTTTTCACTAGTTTGAGAAATATTTTAGAACAAAAAAGCCTATATTCATTCGATCTATTACTAGAAATATGGTTTCTCATTGCTCCATTATCATCGGGATCATGAATTTTGATCTCCTGTGAGTAAAATCGGGCCTATAGTCTAATCACATTAGGTTTGCGAAATAATTGTAAATTCTGGTTTTATTGATGCAAGGGATATAGAAAACTAGGAGAACTAACCAGTCTAACTTTTTTGCAAATGTATTTCTAAACTCATTTTTATGTTCTGCTTCTGTCTGACAGATGATGCTGCTATCTTTCAGATCCCTTTTTAGACGCCGCAATCTAGTATATAGGGTGCTCGAAAAATGGACCGAGATATTTTAGAGGGTGATACCTTGTTAAATAATATGAAAAAAGTTTCTATAAACATGGGTCCGGAAATACAAAGTTTTTAAGATACAGGGTGATAAAGTCAAAAAAAAATATTAATAACTTAAAAAATATTTACTCGATTCTGTCAAAATTTGCAATATCACTTGTTGTATTAAGAGGCTAATTTTTTTAATCTTGTGATTTTTTTAGCAAAAATTAATAAACCATTTTTGTCCAGTGCAATATTTTTTTTTCTCGAAAACGAAGTGAGATATGAAAAAATACAAGTTGTATTTTTAGATGATTAGTTACAAAAAATGCAGTGGCCTACTTTTTACCAAGTTTATAGAAACATTTTTTCATATAATTAACAGGGAATCGCCTTCTGAAATATCTCCGTCTATTTTTCGAACACCCTGGATAGTTAGCTATCTTCAAATTAATTAGTGTTCATATTTGATTCGAGCTTATGACTATTAATTTTCTCCAAATACAAGAAGTTTCTAACATATTTATTCTTTTACAGGGCCTAAGCAAATTGACGGTGCTGGACATCAGGAGTGCAGGTCTCTCGAACATTAGCTTGAACGCCTTCAGAGGGCTGACCATGTTGAGAAGCCTTAATCTGGCCGACAACAGGTTGCAACAGATACCCACGGCTCAGCTGCAACATTTAGTGCGACTTGAAGAATTGACCATCGGTCAAAATGAGTTCACTGTATTGGAAAAAGGAGCGTTCAAGGGACTCTCTAATTTAGTCAAAATCGACATTACAAGTAAGTACTTATAGAGAGCATAAAAAATCTCCGAACCCCACAAATGAATTCAAAATATAGCCAGTTTCGGTAGGCCAAAGAAAAATAAAAAATTCTCAGAAGAAGACTTGTTCAGCTTTTGACATGGAAACTAGAACTTGCTAAATATAGTATCTCTTAACTAGTAATAAGAAATCATCTAAAACTATGCAGTTCCAAGTAACGCAGTGGACTTGGCGAATTCGCAAGTGCTGCCAAAGGAGGATGGTCACCCAAGCGATTTTTTGATTTTTTCAAATGTCCTTTGAACAGAAAACTAAATGTAAGCTTTTTTCAATTCCAGGTGCCATAAATCTTGAAAGGATAGAAAAAGGTGCTTTCAGCGACAACCTAAACCTAGAAACGATCATCCTGGTGAGCAACAAACGTCTGGAAAGTCTGGAAGACGGCGTTCTCGTCGGACTCCCGAACCTCCGACGGCTGGTGCTTCGCGAAAACTCGTTCAAAACTTTATCCGAGTCGGTGACCAGTTGGAACGAGCTCAAAGCTCTGGAACTTACCGACAACCCCATCAACTGTGACTGTCAACTATTGTGGCTGTTGAAGTCGATCAGTTCACGGAACCTCACAAATGTGCAATGTTCAACTCCCTTACAACTCCGCGACAGATCCCTGAGGACTCTGACCGCCGATGATCTAGGGTGTTCATTCAGGGACCCTCGACAGCAGGCAATCATAATTACGTTCTGTGTGAGTGCCACTATCTTGCTGGGACTGCTGTGTCTGTTCCTCTTTAGGTACAGGCTAAAGGTGCGTGAGGCCCTGAAAGACTACAAGTGGAACAAAAGGGCGATCAGTCGAAAGGAACACGAGTACCAGAAGACTTTCTCAGATGAGGATTACATCACCCGTACTGGCCAGCATTACATCAAACCAATACCGGTGACGGAATTGTAGCTAGAACTGCGCACGCCACCCTCTGGGGTAAGTCATATTCATTTTACTACTAATTTGTTCATTCTGTATTATTGAAATTCAAACATACATATATCAGTATAACTACATCCACCTTCAATACTCTTGGCCGCGCGAATATGCAGAGTGCTACCTAACTACTGTACAAAACTTCAAAGGGTGATTCGTTGGGGCGTTTTAAGAAAAAAAAGTTCCTAAGAACGTATGTCGGGAGTTGCTTCGTTTCTATGATACAGGGCGTCAAAGTTTTTTTTTGAGAAAAAAGTACACCAATTACGTTTTCGTGGTTTTTATATTGTTTTGGATTATGTAGTTAAAAATATAACCTTTTGGTCTCTTGTATTTTCTTCATATTTAGCCTCGTTTTCGAGAAACAAAAATTACAAATCACTTTAACTCATTCTAAAACATCTCCATGACACCATAGTTGAATGTTTATTTTCATAGTAAACAGGATATGAAGAAAACACAAGAAGCCAATAATTTGTCTTCCTAGTTGCTTAGTATAAAAAATATAAAAACTACAAAAAAGTTATTGGCATACTTTTTTACCTCAATAATATGGCTGTGGTGCCCACTGAGACGCCACTGGACCTAATAATTTCAATCTAGTTAGAGTTGAAAAGCGCCTTACTACTTCAAATAATTGCACCAATGTTCAACCAAATCGGTTTAAGGATATTTATCATATTTTATAAAGACCGCATATTTTTTTAAACTTCAACGTCCTGCATCACAGAAACGAAGCAATCCCGAACATATATTATAAAGAACTTTTTTTCTTAAAACTACCTAACGAATGACCCTCCAAAGTGTCATACCTTCTTTAGAAAACGCCTTGTGTAAGCCCATTTGATAGTACATCTATTACACTCTAGATTTTGTATTGGTTTTGTATATTCTGGGATCCCCACATCATGATATAACCATCATTTGTTAAGGGTTCCTTGTTGGCCATAACTGCAACTTTAGACATTTATAACGTGACGAGTGTGATACATTTTCGACATAGAAAATCCAAAATATGTCGGAAATCTACTAGGCAGATTTCGAAGAATCCCTCACTTAATTAAATATGTTCGTTATATTTAAATAAATCCACCAACGAGGGCTGTTAAAAAATATATTCAAAAAATCATTTTCAAATTAAACCCATAAATTGATTATCGTTTTTAAAAAAAAACGATTAAACCGCTTTCAAGTTTATACGAGTGCATGTGTAATATTTGTTAATAACAGACGAGCCTAATAGAAGAACTTTGGAAACGTATTTTTCAACTTTATCGAATGCTAAGTTATATTAGGTGTACCGGAAAATTCTCTCGGTTCCGATATCAACAATTTTCGAAATGTACGCGCATCTTTGACGGAGGTTTGGCTCACTCTTTCTACCACTGAATATATACGTGCCGATCTTGCTGAATTTATAGGAACGCGACAGTATGTCCATTTCTACTGAGGTCAAAAGTGGATCACATATGACAATGTATATATAAAATATTAGTAATAACTCACCAGAAAAAGGTATTTTATTTTTTGAGTCTCAGCAAGAAAATACGGTGGAACATTTGAGGTTCAATACATAATGAGCTATCGAAACAGAATAAAAAACTTCATTCAGAAAGGCCTTGCCAGCAATTAGATAAAGTTAAATCGGCACTACAAGAAAAAAGCTTCGACGTTTATTAAAAGGACTAGTACTGCATGATACTGCTCTGAAGACCAAGCAAAATATCACAGAGCCAGTCCGACAAATTATATGACCCCATACTCTCCAAACTAAGCACCCTCCGACTATCATCTACTTTTATCGTTACACTTTCTCATAAATAATGATGGGCATTATATACTTGGATAAATTTAATCCATGGTATGACAAACATGTATTTTGTTATAACCTAAAAACGAGCAGAACTTTGCGGTAGCCCTAATATTTATAACCTACAGAAGTAGCGTCCGTTAAAAAAATGTAATGTGTAACATTCATAAAATAAAATTTCAAGGTCTATAATGTTCGACATAGTTCTTTTCATCATTAACTTTTTCTCAATGCGAATATGTTCTAAGTCTGACATGATTCCACATTGCTTGAACATGTTTTGGCATAATTTGAATCTGGTTGGGAATCCTACTAGCATCCATCAACGCACCCGTTATGACTCTCTATTAGTCAAATTGTCGCTTTTTAAAAATGGATATGACCTTTTGACAAAAATTCCATCTATTCCAAATTATAAATTTAATTTCTTCTTCCAGGTATTCTGTTTAGATGGAGAAGGGCGGCGTGCGGCAGCGGCGTACACAAGTACGCGGTGCGGGGGCCCTAGAGGCACCCTGCCTGCGACCGGCTTCACCTACATCGAGCCCTGCGGAACCACCAGATCCCTGCGCTCAGTGGACCACCACTACCGAAACGGCGGCCCCGCGAACTGCCACGTCGACTTGTATCAGCACTAGTGACGCGACAACCAGCGACTGTTATAGTGCACCTCCGATCTAACAGATGGCGTCCATTAGCTGAAACACCCGTTTAATTCAGTTTGCTTGATATGTTAGCTGATTTACAGTGATCAAGAGCATGTGCATGGGATTACAACGTGAACTGGTGCTAAGCACTACAGAGTTACCCCGAGTAACTCAACTGGATCACTGGAAAGTAGGTGTACATTCAAAGTTGCACCATTATTGTTCCTTTTATTTTCGTTAACCACAAAAGACTGCTATGATCATTGATCAGCTTGCGTCTGTTCGTCAAATATAACCATATTAAAGACTATGACCGTTAGTATAGAAATTTCAAACGTCTTTAACAAATTGCAGTATATGATTATACATCTGTCAAACGGAGGTGGCTATAACTATTGCCAACGGGGTGATTTTAGGTATAAAAATGGAAAGACTTTTTTATAGTAGATTGAATGATCATTTGAAGACGAGATCAAAACGTGGGAATTCATATGAAATTTTTCTTTGTCACTGCAATGAATTTGTAAATGCACCAATTCTCCGTACTCTTAATATATAAGTATCCCACAACTTGACCACTGTCCGGACGATCAAAAACTTATTTAATGCTCAATGTTTCATGTCCTATAAATTTGAACGGCTTAATGCCATGCAATGAATACAATGTTATCACAGTGGTTGTCACGAACTTTTCTGGGTTGAACTTTTTATTTGAACTACAGTCAAATTCATCGCATATCAACAATTTATTTTGCAATGTATCGTCAAAGATTGAGATATCTTGATTTAGCTGACTTGACATTGGCCATAATTTGATCTTTTCTTGTTCAATGATCCATACAATTTGATACTATTAAGCAATAATACTTGAATCCATTCCAGTGTGTGATTTTATGAAATATCCAGAGACTGTATTATAGTAGGTTTTAAGTATATTTTCTTGAACAGTTGCTATTTTGCTCATAAGAGGTCTGTGATATTCAATCGATTTAACTGCTAAATTCTTTCCGGAATATTTTGATACAATCACAAATAAAATCCGCTATAAACACTTCTGCCTTTTGCACATACACACTCAAATGCGCACTTGTAATACCTCTTAATACAAGTACTTACATTATTCACCACTTGCAGTATCCACACAAATTCCAAATATTTTGATTGAATTTTCACAAATTACTTGTAAAGCAAAATAGGCCAAAGACAAGACTATGTGAGAATTGTTCTTTCAGAGAGCCTAATTTTTCTATTGATGTTTTATTTTTTATATTTTGTGGCAATCCCCTCAAAAAAAAATTCAAAAGAATAACAGTTATTTCAAAACGTACTATTCAAATTCATATTTTAAGTTGTTCATGAACAAATTTTGAGTTTATGTCAGTGACATATAAGGATTGTAATTCAGCAATATGTATTTTCAAATGGAAATACTAATAATATAACAACCTATTTTCGAAAAACATATATTATGTATTTTGACAGGCATCAGTTTTACATTTTACAATATGGTTTAACGAATATCAATATTCAATTGAAGTAATAATTGTTTTCAAATTTAAGTTACGCAATCGTAGTTGGATGGTTTTGGTTTTATGAAAAAATAATTACTTTGTATCAAAATACAGTTTTAATATGAAATTGTCTGTCAAAAAAAAGTAATATTTATATTATGGTAACCTAGTCATAGCAAAAATGTGTACATAAATGTGGAGCAATTTGCTGTGACTGATATTTGTAAATTTGCAATGGTGTAAGACCCTTAGTCTGTGTAAGTTTGCAAATATTCTAGTTCGAATTTGTGATATTTTTATAAAACGTCATAATTTATCAGGTATATATAGCACTTTATGCAAAATATAAAAATCTTAAACAAGTTAAGATGTGATCGCTGTTCTAAATTGCCTAAGATATAGAATAGATGATTCACACAAACTGAGTATACAAAAAAATATTGTACATACAATTATAATTCCTAAGAAGATATTTTTTGCACATATTTTTACCTGGATTTCGTATTTTCAAATGAATTTTGAAAATATTCAAATCTGAAAAATTGTGCGATATTTATAAATAAAATGTGTAACTTGTAAATAGGTATTTCAAAATTAATATGAAGTCTGTAAGCAAACGTATTTCATGATTTTTGTCAACGAAAGTAAATTTTGGTTTATGGGCAACAGAAGAATTCCATTTTCTGTGGTATGTAGCTTAGACCACCTTTTTTGTCGAGTGTTTTTTTTTCTAAATTGTTTCAGACAGACTCGCTCTTACTGGTTCACTTATTTTCGCCTATTGAATCGGTAAATACTTGCCAATACTGTTCTCAAAACTTATTTAAATCCAAAACCAAAACGATACATACAGTGGTCTTAACTACAAACTGTTTATAATGTTTAGCCATTTTTGTGTAGGTAGGTACTTTCTAATCCATCGTAAAAGTATCATGCCTGTACATATTTTTTGAAAAAAAACAATATTTATTTTGATATTTATTCTTTGAATTAATAAAATCTATATGAACTAGTCATGAAACATAAATTATTAACTTGTACTGTATGATACACACGTGAAGAAACATTTTTTTTTTGTTTTGTGAGTGAGAATAGATCACGTGCATTTTATATATTGTACATAAATATTTAGTGTTCTGTACATATTAACTTTATCCAATGATTATTTACAATAAATGAAATTTCTGAAATAGTTGTGTTTTTTTATATTATGAAATTTTGAGTTCTCTGGCTGGCAATGCACCATTACATCAAGTTTATGACGCATCGAAATAAGTCAGTGCAAAGTGCAATCTAGCATGAATGAAAGCAACATGTCTAGTTTGACTTATCCCAGGTTAATGAAAGCAAATAACTTCTTAAGGCCTAAAGTTTTACACACTTTCCTCAGTTAAATAAATACAGATCCTCTCAAATATCACTGACCCAAAAAGTCTGGACTATTGCTGAAATCGATTTTTAAAATGGTATGCTGTCTACCAGACTAATAGAGTTGGGAAAGATGAGTTGATGCTGGGGGTTGAAGCTGGAGCAAGAACATGACATGTCAAACGTCAGGATGAGGTTATGTTTTATTTGTTTGTGGTTTAATAGTTTGATAAAAGTTTTGTGTTGAGAATTGTTTAAAATGTAAATAACTGCTTTAAAATCAAGTAATCAAGAAAACAAATCAATGTAATACTTATAATTAGTAAAGCTAGAAGCCTCAAATTCAAGCCCTAAAGTCTTTGAATATGGTAAACCTACTTATTGGATGTACTGGAAGTGTAGCAACATTAAAATTACCAGTCCTATTAGAAAAGATATCAAGTGATTTATCTGAAGACCAAGTGAATTTGAAAGTATGTGTGACAGAGAGTGCTAGACATTTCTTTGATGAAAACAGCCTTCCAACTGGCACTAGAATATTCAAAGACTGTGATGAGTGGAATGCTTGGTCCGCCAGGGGTGATCCTGTACTTCATATTGAACTAGCAAAATGGGCAGATATATTCTTAATAGCACCCTTAGATGCCAATACATTAGCAAAAATGGCAAATGGACTATGTGATAATCTGCTTACTTGTATAGCTAGGGCATGGGAGATGAGCAAACCTTTGGTATTTTGTCCTGCAATGAATACAAAAATGTACCAACACCCATTAACAGCTCAACAAATAGATCTCCTAAAATCTTGGGGGTATCAAGAAATTCCTGTCATAGAGAAAAAACTCATATGTGGTGATACTGGTCCTGGAGCCATGGCTGAAGTCACTACCATTGTTAGTTACTTACGAAATATAGTATCAGAAAATAAATAAATTGTAAAATTTATTGTGTACCCACTTTGCTTCAGTGTTCGGATCACAAAAACACAAAATTCGAAGGCGTCCATCTCTACTGCCCAAGTTTGAGTGAATCACTAACAGATGGCACAAGACAGAAGATTTTGGAGAAATGTGTAAGCTTATACTCATAAACTTTATATTGATACATTAATCAGGAACTAGTTCCAAACTGCTACTACACCCTATTTCACGAGTATCCATCACGCTTTGACGTCTACTGAGGTGAACAGCAGATCAGCAAGTGACATTGGGTGTAAATCTAGTAAAACTTGTTTGTGCGTTTTGTTTTTTGTATGCAAAAGTGGACTTTTCTAAATAGAAGAGCTTTTAGCAAGTACATAATAAATCTGTAGTGAACAAAATATGGCTGTGTCTACCTGGCATTGACGGATCCGTCAGAATTATGTGTCCTTGCGGATATAGGGAATTTTGAAATATTACTAGATATCAGCTGTCACTCTACCCTAATGGACTATATACCATACTGCACGAGTATCCTTTACAGTAGAATTACATCTCAAAATTCCCGATATCGGTACAGAAAGCATAATTCTGACGGATCCGTCAACACCAAGTAGAGCCGTACTTTACTATTTTGTTTTGCTTTTTGTACGCTACAGATTCATTTTGTACTTTTATTTAGAAAAGTTCATTTGCATACAAAAAAAAACGCCACAAACAAGTTTTGCTAGATTTATTACCGATTCATTATTTGCCAACGTTGCAGAGTAACATAAAAATGTCACTTACTGATCAGCTATTCACGTCAATAGGCGTGTCAAAGCGTGATGGATACTCGTGAAATAGGGTATTCTCTAGAAAAGTTTATACAGGGTGTTTCAAAACTGTGGGATTAAACTTGTAGGGGTTATTCAGTGTAATAGTAGAAAACATTTGAGTATAGTGACTCATATCCGGAAAAGTGTCACTACGGCCCTAAGACGCATTAAAATTTAGAAAGACGATGAATTGCCTAAATAGGATTTATTGCATTTAAGTTTTGCCTTTTGTACATGATATCATCACAACAATTGTTCAAAATGTCTTCCTCCAACCTGAATACACGGTTCCTGTGGGGACATGTAAAGTCTTTGGTTTACGAAACTCCAGTAGAAACAGAGCAAGACTTAATTAGACGAATTACAGCAGCATTTGAAATCATTCAAAACGAGTATCAAATTTTTGGAGGAAGACATTTTGAACAATTGTTCTGATGATATCATGTACAAAAGGCAAAAATCAAATGCATTAAATCCTATTTAGGCAATTCATCATCTTTCTAAATTTTAACGCGTCTTAGGGCCGTAGTTACACTGAATAACATCTAGAAGTTTGATCCCTTACTTCTGAAACACCCTGAAGACCATCTTACAACATTACTGTGAAAAAATATACACATTTGGATAAATCTCGCCTTTGGCGCCACCTATCAAGCGGATAGCGAACATTATGCTCGGATTTGACAAGGTATCATGTATCACACTTTGTGAAGATGTGAAGTGTTAGTACTTATCCCAGATCCATCTGATCACGAAACAACAATGAATTTATTAGCAAGACGTCACGAATGTCATATGTCAAAAAACAAAATCAAGAAATTTATTTGTGTTTATCATTTAGGTGCATTTTGGCGAGATAATTATTATTATTATTTCTCGAAAACTATTTATATATTTATATATAGTATTGATAAAACTCTCACCAAACGCGAAGGACTCAAGTTGGCGTTGATAGAACCTGATTTTTGACAGTGTCGCCTCTATATAATGCGGGTCCCACACCTTCCAGCGTTGTATACAACGTTGTTTACAACGTTCGACACACCGCAAATGGCAAGTGCGTCTCCTACCGATGGGATGAACTTTTTAATTTCGGACGTTCGACGCATAGTGGCGCCAACATCTATTATCACTGTCAGTGTTGCGCTTGAACCTTTACAACTGAAGGAAAAATTATGCAAAATGAACGATGAAACAATTTTTTCGAACGGCGAGAAATAAACTCAGATCTGTCCCCAGCGACCAAAACCTAAGTCTGTCAGAAGCCTCAGAAACGTCGAAAAACGAGGTTTGGCCGTTTTTTGTTTGTTTTTCGACGATCACTCCGCCGCCACTGAACCGATTTTCAAAAACTGCAGAGATTTTTCGTCATTTTAATAGTAGTAACATAACCATTAAAATTCTAACAGTACTTCCAGAGTTATCATATATTTAATCATTTTCGTTAGTTATGAAATGCAAGTCAATATATCTCTCAAGTAGTCTTGCATTGCAACAGGACATTATAATGAAACAACTGTAAGCACTTGATAATTTATAATTTACTAAAATACCATATCCTCAGGCCAGCCATAATTCACCTGCGAAACTTACAAAATATTAGCAATATGAAGAAAGTGTTGTTATGGCAGCCTATGCTATGTATATATACTAATTTAATTCATTCTCATCAAAAGTTATTTACGGAACATGCATTATTATGAGTAGATAGGTATTCAAATTAAAATACTTTCCACATTCCACTACTTCGCCACAATCGCAGCAAACAAGTAAATAATGTTTTTCGCCGCTACTCGTTCTAAGCTAAAACCATCAAACATATGGCATCTCGTGAGGGAGCGTAACGAACCTTGCTTCCTACGTTGTACACGTCCTTTGACGTGGGTCAAATTTGCCGACAAGAGCCCGAACGTGCCATGTGGCGAACATTGGACACATGTAATCCGTCAGCGCTCTCCCACACGATGTGGCGAATGGTCATGTGACCAACGTTGTAAGGCATTCGCCACATCGTGTGGGACCGGTTTATACTCTGTGGTTTGACATTGACGAAATAGACGTGTGTTTTATCAAGTTGTCAAAAAAAAATAATCCCAAAAAGAAAATCAGCAAGTGAACAGTTTAAAATGGCAGATATTCTATCAGAAACTGTTTTACCCGAAGATTTAAAGGTAGAATCTCATGAATTCAATCAATATCAGCTACCAAATAGTTAGGCTCAGCTGCTGTAATAATACAAAGGCATTTTAAACTGTCGACATCAGTTCTTTGAAATGACGAACTTTTCACAATCAGTTCTTTCTAGAAATTCGAGAAAATCTATCATGAACAGCTCTACAAGAACGATGTCACTCCAAAAGCACAATTCGAATACGCTTGGTGCCTAGTACGAAGCAAATATCCAGCCGACATACAGAAGGGAATCATATTATTGGAGGAATTGTACAAAACACACGAAGAAGGGCAAAGGGACTATTTATATTACTTAGCTATTGGAAGTGCAAGGCTGAAAGAATATTCCAAAGCTATGAACTATGTTCGATCTTTCCTAACTATTGAACCAGGTATGCATGTCTAACAAAGCTTAGATAAGAAAGTATGACTCATCACAAAAATAAGATTGTAAAACCGTTTATGGATCAGGAATGCTATAATTGCATATAATGGCCAGATAATCTTGAAAATGTTGAGAAATTAGGTTTACAATTGCAATTAGCAGTCAAGCATAAAATATGATGCAATATTGTATTAACCTGCAGGGGTATCATGTATCTTGAAAAGTGACATTTTATTGATTTTTTTTGACATTATGTAGGTTTTTCTACAAGATGTTAACTTAGCACTTAGTTGTAAGTGTTGCTTAAACGCCATGAGGCTTCAGTTATGAATGTTTGGCTCTGATGTGATGTAAAATCTGCTGCAGAAATGGCATTACTGGAGGTCTAAACTGTAAGTTGTAAGTGTTGATGATAATTCCATTGGATTCTTGTCTCAAATACACTTACTTGAGATTCAAAGCTAGCACTTTTTCTTATCCATTCTGAAAATTACAGATCAAATTTGCAGAATTCCAAAAATGTTGGTGTAAAGAAATAATTATATTCACTGTACACAGTCGAATTACAAGTCATATACATACATACTAACAGTAATTATGCACAACGCGGACGCGGTGATAATTTTTGGTAATTCTCCCCAGTTTTTCATAATTTATAACATTGAACAAAACCTCTCTTCAAATAGCACAACATTAACCCGTCATATTCAGCATATTTAGTAATGATTTTCTCACAGCAAATACCACTGATTTTATGCACATGCTGACCAATACACATAATCATCCAGAGGTGATCTTGCTTTCGACCAACCTTCTTCTCACCTTCTCAGAGATAAAAACTACAGACATGGACCACTCAACTTCACGAAACATGCAACCAATAATTTGTGTAGTTTAGATGAGTGATTCCTCCATAGATGGATGTTCACAACAATCCTACTGAGCAAAAGTGGAATGACTGTTTGCGCCCTAAAAACTACCTAGTCTGCAAGTAGACATCTTATAGGATTTTTTTAAAGTTTCATAGGTTTTTTACATGATACCCATGCTGATGTAAATCTCAAGTTATTCAAAACAACATATTTAGCATATTTGGTGTTGAAAAATGCTATAGGAATCTTCTCCTATAGGTTATATATGTACAAGCCCTTTCCCACTTCAGTTGGCCCAACTATTGAAATCTTAGTTTTTTTCTTATCAAACACGAATAATAAGAATGTAGCAAGGTGTTATAGGTTTAAAATATTAGCAATGAATATTTTGATAATATATAGTAGAAAACACCAACTTTATCACTTCCTAATCAAATTTGCAGCATAAAAATAACACATGTTGCAATTACACCATATCAACCTATTTTCATTTCAATGCAAAATAAGTCCATAACACATAGGTGGCTGTGAAAAATAAAAGCCATGACAATTGTTTTTATTAATCACAGCTGTCAGAATACGTTTAAAATAGTTTTGGGTAGTTAAGGTTTTCAAAATGGGTAGAGGAAAGGTTATTAGTGGGAAAATTTGGTTACTGATAATTAAATTTTTTAATTCTGGGAAATCAAACTCAGAAATTGCAACTTTGTTAGACTTATCGCGGTACAGTCTGAGAAATTAGATATAGATATAATGTAACTGGTTCAGTTAATATTAAGCCACGATATATGTGGAAAAAAGTAATATCACAAATGCCGACCGAAGAGCATTAAGAAGAATAATCGTAAAAAACAGGCATGCCAATTATTTACAATTAAGTGCTCTGTGGAGTGATGCTGTTGGAAGGAGAATTTCGAGGTCCACAACTCATAGAGAGTCCCACAAACTGGGATTTAGCACTTGCAAGGTAAGTTTTCTTATAAAAAAAAGTGAAGTAAAAACCCTAAAGTTGCACAACTAGTTTATAGGCCAAAGAAAAGCTACTATTAACTCCACTGCAAAAGAAAAATCGGCTTAGATGGGCTAAAGAACATAGACAATGGACACCTCAACAATGGTGTGTAATACAATGGAGTGATGAGGCTCGATTCGAAGTTTGTGTTGGTGACAGTCGCAGTAGAGTTATTCGCAAAAAAAATAAAGCATTCCATGTTGACTGTCTGAAGAGAAAAGTGAAATTCCAGCATCCATTATGGTCTGGGGCAGTATGTCATCAAAAGGAGTAGGAAAAATTCATTTTGATGATGGAAATGTGGATACAAGTATTTGGCAATTTTAGGAGAATCGCTTTTACCAGTGATAGAAGAATGTATGACATCCGGCCAAGATTTTGTGTTTCAGCAAGATGGTGCAGCGTGCCATACCTCAAAAAATGCTATAAAGTGGATAGAAGAAAATAATGTACCACTTTTGAAATGGGTTTCTAGCAGTTCAGATCTGTCACCTATTGAAACTTTGTGGCACCAGATGAAAAAGGTTCTACGACAACATCCTGCTCGTAAAATCACTGAACTGAGACAAAAGCTTCAAGAAATATGGGATTGTTTTACACCAAATTTTTGCCAAAACTTGGTTAACACTATGCCCCAAAGAATTTCAGCTGTAATAAAAAATAAAGGTGATGTTACCCAATGGTAATCTTTCAATTGTTGCTTTGTTAACTTCTCGCATTTATTCGCACATTGTTTATTTGTTCAGATGTTCTATTAGTTATAGGTCTAAGTGATTTCAAATATGTATTTTTTACGACTAGAGTGTATCTAAAATGTTTTTGAGAAAATAAATTGTTTTAGAAGTAAATAGTTTCGTCATGTTTAGTTTATAAAGGCATATTTTGGTACAAATCTTGAAGTGGGAAGGGGCTCGTATAGACAACTTATTGGTTATTATAGAATACATTGTGAAAACACCTACAGTGGCACTATAAACAGATTAGATGAATTTCTATTGGAAGACTAGCCTAAACATGCAGCTCAGCTCCCATAGTGTAAAGTATAGGACATTCATTTTGCATTAGTTTGAAGGCAATTGGTTTTAGAGGAAAAAATGCAGTAATTACCTTGGAAATGACCTTTTTTATTGAACAGCTTAATCTCTACATAAATGTGAATATTCATTCAATCTATCGGATGCCTTATTCTAGCACCTGCATCTTCATATGCTTAAAACTTACAAAAAGATTGTTTTCAAGTGATGCTATAAACCTCTGATCAGGTTTTGCATATTTGATGACAGTAGTAAAACAACAGCCAAATTGCATGCTTGGGAAATTTGATTGCTTAATTGGTGTCGCCAACTACACGTTCCGCTGGAAAAACGCGAGGCAGAACCATCTAAATCCCCAAGTTTAATTTTTAGTAGATTTTTTTAAATCTGCTACTTCACCACTTTCTTATTAAGCATTTTTCAAGATTACTTTATTTGTTTGCAAAATTATCATATTTTTATATACCTAGTAAGATTTGTGTTACATATTTGACACCTTAGGGATTTTTCATTTATTTGCCATACATTTTGATTATCGTATCCATACTTTGTATGCCAGTGTGTGATAAAATGTTCTCCTTACAGGTAATCAACAAGTGCTGAGTCTCCAACAAACCATCAAGAAGAAGATGGAAAAGGAAGGCTTAGTAGGAATGGCAATGGCAGGGGGTGTGGTCCTAGCTGTAGGAGCTATTGTGGGAGTGGGGATGGCTATTGCCAATAAGGCTAAGTGACAGTTCTTCCCTTTAGACACAGACGATACCTTTTAGAGATTTCAGCCACTGAATAATAATTTATAAAAGCAAAATTTTGTGTGTATAAGTTTTATATAAAAGTCATTACAACAGAGCATTTATTCATTTATCTTGGTTGCATTCTATTTTTTTTATCTACTGCATTGTGACAGTCACTAAGACTAATCCTGGTAGCAGACTGGAGAGACAAATTTCATAAAAACTGTAGCATTGTTGTACAACACTCGATATTACATAATTCAAATACTTAATAAAGTGTGACGGGCAGTTTCACGTTAATGTCATATACTTTATAAAATTTATTCTGATGTTGACTCTCTAAATATTGGCTGCTGCTGCACCACCTCAGGGGTTGCTATGGCAACCTAACCATCAATAACGTAATTAATTCATCAATTATGATTCACTTAATGATCAGATTTTCATTAGGTGCCCAAGATCAGATTTTGTCTTCCAGTTCAGATAAGACATAAAAGCTTTCTTCTGTCACAGGTTTTATGAAACCTGTTTCTCCAATGTGTTGCCAGCCTATTTTCCAAAGTATCTGTGATTTTCTCCTTATGTGGTTTGTTGGATCATGATTATTATTTAAAAAGTAGGTTATCTTACTGAGGTTATTTAGATTATTAAAAACTTGATGTGTCAATTGTAGTACACTGAATGGTTCTCAGAAAGTATAAGTTTTATAATAATTTGTTGAGTAAGAAAAAAAAAGTTGACAGTGCTTAAGGGCTGTACAGTTAAACAACAAAACTGAATATTGAACTTTCATCTCTTTTAGTGTTTAATATCGAAGTGTCGGTAATTCAGTATCAGAACTGTTCAGGTAACAGTAAAATATGAGGAGGTTTCAGTGAAACCAAGTAATAAATGGCAACACACAAGCATTGTATGAACGTTCAAAGCTAACTGATTTGTTTGATCTTCATTTAAATAACCTTCATAGCCCCAGAAATATTTTAAGGCTGAACATAATTATGAAGACAGATCTATGGGCACTGAATCATCAAACTACCACTAAATATAACATCTGATGTGTTGGCAAATTCTTAACAGTCACTGTGAATGAGATAAACTTTTTAACATTGTTCGAACTATTTTTATTATTCTGAATCAAGACCACTTAAAGAGCAGCCTAATTTTCATGTGAACATTTGGCCAATGCTTGTGTGCCTATGATTTGTAGATATTGCAAAAAATATCATTGTCATTGTGGTTGTATGTACTGTTTGTCATGTCTTGTCAGGGTGGTCATGGGGCTTTTGGCCCTTATTCATTCAGTTGTTTTGATTTATTCCAGTCGTTTATTATCATTCACATCTGAATATAATAATAATAATAATAATAACGTTTATTTGCAGAGCAAAAAAAAATAGAAAGAAAAAAATTAAAAATGTAGGAACAACATGAAGTTGCAGTTATAAAGTTGTATGGAATTTCATGTTAATTTAAACTTAAATTTCATCACTCAACATCAGGAATATTCACTTCTAAGACTGAAGTTATTTCAAATTGTTAATTTCCGATTTTATTCATTTATATTCACTATAACCACACATTTTTATTCCCTACCCAAAGAAGTACTTGAATGTATATGATGTAATTATTACTGATTTAGGCTGTTATTATTTATTTAATAGTTAATAAACATTATGCAAAAATGGTTGTTTTTTGTGATTTGGTAGTTTTGACCAACTAAGTAGTTGAAATCAATAGTTGTATGTATGGAAGTAGTCTAATCATATTAGCAAATTTTCTCGAAATAATTGTAAAGCTGGTTTTATTGGTGCAAGTTGTTCATCGACGCTTAAAATGGGTACACCAATTTTTGTGGGAAAACTTTTTATTTGACAACAAAGAATGAGAAAACAGGTTTTTGGGATTCAATCGAAAGTGTTGACAGGAACGAAAAAACTCGCCAAGTGCTAAAACCTGCAGTTTGCCTCGATTTTCGGCCATAACTTTTTTGCTCTTAGTCGGATCTTTTTACGTGTGATCTCATTTTGTATCTCTCATAAATACCTAAAAACACTTTCGATTGAAACCCAAAAAACACGTTTTGTCATTATTTGTTGTCGAATAATATTTTTTCTCGTAAAAATTGGTGTACCCATTTTATGCGTGCATGTTTTGAATACCTCCTTGACCAACTTGTAGCAATAAAACCAGACTTTACAATTATTTCGCAAACCAGGGGTATTTTCGTCTAATATGATTAGACTAAAGAGGCTACTACTCATGAGCAAGACATTTTTTTATATCCAAGAAACGAGTGGATTAGGTGTTACTACATTTAAATGTACATTGTTGAAATAATGAAAAAGTCATAGGTGAAATAAAAAAAATGTACCGTTGACAGCATATTTAAAAACCGTTTTTATATTGATGTAGTGCCTATTTTATAGAGAAAACAAAGTCGCTGTTTCCGTACAGTTATAAGATCCTGACAGTAAGTCTCTCATACAGGTCTTGTGAGAAATGGTCTTTGAAAATATTATATTTTGTCCAAATGTTTGATCCTATTAAAGACAAGATAGAATTGAGTGGTAAAAAAGTTGCAATTCATTATATTTTTAATTGATCTGATGAATATCAACAGACTTTCCGCCATTTCTGACGTTTTGTAATTAAAAGACGGCAGCTTTGAAACTCTGAGCCTCTGGAAGCTATTGATTAAGGTACACCGGGGTAAGTGTAAATACGGGGCAAGTGTAACCTATGCCAATTTGTGGTCTTAAATTCTATCATAATGGCGCCATCTATGGCCAAGTAGGTTTATTATGATACCAGCTAAGCATCGCAATAGATGTCTTGCGCGCTAGCAAAACGAACGCTTCATCACATTTCGTTACTTAGTGTGTTTGCATTTACAGTTGACGACGCAGTTCTGTAGTCTCTTATAAAAATCTCTTTGTATTAAAACTTTGACGACTTTTCATCGTAATTTCTGGTAAGCACTCCATTAAAGGTATTATCTACGTATTAGTAAATAAACTTATCTTTTCTGAATTTTAAAGATTTTTTTTTTAAATGTTGTGGTTTACACTTGCCCCAAAAAAAACTCCCTTAGGGCAAGTATGAAATATGGTAGGTTACACTTGCCCCAATAATTCTATTACGTTTACACTTTCCCGTTGTTTTCAGAACATGGTCCGGAATTACATACGTAAGAAAGCTCCTCCAGCCTATAGCAAAAACGATTTGAAAGAGGCAGTACAAGCTGTGCAAAGAGGTACTCTAACATTATATAGAGCTGCATTATTGTACAAAATACCCAAAGCTACTTTATTTACTCATGTAAAGGGTAAACGGGGTATAAAAAGTAATACGGGGGGTAGGGCACCAGCTCTGCCTTATGATGTAGAACAAAAATTTTCCAACAGTATTGAAATACTCGAAAAATGGGGTATGGGACTATCAAAGAGAGAAGTTCTTCAACTAATTGGGCGGTATGTGACAGAAAATAATATAGTAACCCCTTTCAAGAATGGAGTTCCTGGCAATGATTATTTCGTCAGATTCACGAAAGCATTTCATTTAAGCCAGAAAAAACCGCAATCTGTGGAAGTGGCTCGAAAGAGGTCTATGGATCCATTTGTTATGTATGATTACTTCAATATCCTCAAACAGCATATTGAAAATATCCCAGCATCGCAAATTTATAATATTGATGAAACCGGTTTCTGCCTGGATCCATCCCGGATAAAAGTTGTTGGAGAGAAGGGTAGAGCAGCCCATAGGACAACAAGTGGTCCAGGACGAGAGAATATAACAGTTCTCCTTGGGGGAAACGCTGCAGGTGAAAAACTTCCTCCACTCGTAGTGTTCAAGGGTAAACACATATGGAATAGTTGGATTCCAACTAAGGAATACCCGGGAATGACTTATTCAGCCACTAAAAATGGGTGGATGGAAACGGAAACCTCTCAAAAATATTTTGAAAACAATTTTTTACCAAATATTGGCAAAGACAGACCTACTGTATTAATTTATGATGGTCACACGTCTCACATTAGTATTTCTTTGATAGAAAAGGCAATAGCTAATGATGTGATTATAGTGAAACTTCCGCCTCATTCCAGCCATCTGCTACAACCTATGGATTTATGTGTTTTTAAGTCATTAAAAATGGCATGGGATGCAGAGCTCATAAAATGGCAGAGACAAAACTATGGTACGAAACTACCAAAACCTATGTTTTGTACCATTTTATCAAAAATCTGGTCACAAGTAAACCCTTCGTTACTTATCAAAGGATTTGAGAAAGGGGGGATATATCCTTTTAATAATGAGGTCATTCCCGTTGAACATTACGATCCAGAAGCATATAAAAGGTGGTGTGATTCAAACTGCAAAAATAACAATCCGGAAGAAGCACAAGTAGCGCAACCAAATTTACGATCAACATTAGAAGAGCGTTTTAATTTGCCATCCACTTCAACAGTACCACCAATAACTCCGCAGACATCGTCAGTAAATTCAATAAATCCGGAAATGTCATCGACCAGTTCAGAACACCAGAATCCGCCAGTTAACAACACAAAAAGTTTTGAGAGCATTCTAACCGTGTCAAACTTCGTACATCCAGAACTGGCCGATACGACCGCTCCTTTGTCCCGAGGGTGTCTAGATTGTGGAACAATCTACGGGAGGAAACTTTTCCCAGTTCTACTAACCTTAGGCAGTTCAAAAATCGTATTAACAAAATTTCTTTGGGATCATCATAGCAGCCGCGGTGTTCCGGCATTTAGGCTTCTGCCTGCGCGGCTGTTTCGATATAAAAAAAAAAACAGCTAAAACAGATGCCAAAACCAGCGAAATCGATCAGAAAGAGAGTATGTATAGGTGCCGAAGTTATTACATCCTTGGAAGCAGTTGCTAAATTGAACGAGAAAGCAAACAAAATTAAAAAACCAGAGAAGTCGACAACTAAGAAAGATGGTAAAAAATTGAAAAGAAAGCAAGTATACGAAGAAGACACAGATGAAGATAGTTTTGAAGAAATGGAAGTCAATACTTCAGATGATGATTTTGACTTAGACGATGAAGTAAATGATTTGCGTGAAGAAGAAGAATTCGTGAAATACCTGGAGAAAGATCCTCAAGAACTGAAAATAGGGGACTGGATTCTAGTAAAATTTGCTACTAAAAAATCATTTAAATTTTATGTAGGGCAAGTAACAGAAGTAGAGCCATGTTTAGAAGCAAAATTTGTAAGACGCTCGGGATCTTCATCACAATTTCATTGGCCAGATACTCCAGATGTCTCAGTTATAAGAAAAGATGAAATACAACACTGTTTGCCTGCCCCAGATATTCACAGAAGAGGACACTTCCATTTCAACATCACATTTGAGCAAAATATATCCTAAGTGATTTTTCCTAGTAAAAAAATCTGATTATATTTAGTCTCTTCTTTTATTTACACTAGCCCCAATCAAGTCTTTTCACTTTTGTAGTAATTCAGACAGCGTATTTACACTTGCCCCAATTTGCTGGGGAAGTGTAAACCATTATTCTAACATGAAAAAAATAATTTCTAGAAAAAAATCTATACTGATTTTGTTTTGTGTTTGTAGATTTCGTTTCTACATATACTTAAGACTATACTCTCAAAATTTCAGTGAATATCATAATTAAAAATAGGAAATACAACGCGAAAAAGTTGAACTATTGAAATTTTGGGTCACACTTGCCCCGGTGTACCTTACAACAAAATTATCCTCAGTCTATGTCTATATACAGGAACACTCTAGAGTCTAGATTGTTTCCTTCAAAAGGCGGAAGCTTACACAAAAAGACAACTGATGGACTCACCTGAATCAAACACCTATTTGGAGTACTTCACATGTCTACCACGGTCACCTACCTTGAATTAATTAAAATCTTCAATATTCTAAAATATAATACTAAACTATGAAATTTCTGTTGCATCACCCACCTGCTTAACTTCTGGTAAGCCTAAATGGCACACTTCAGATGGTAGCAGTTCAGCAAATCACATCCAACACTTCAAGTTTAAGAATTCACAAAGTACTTCCTAATGTCTAAATCTTGAGAGATTATACGAAACCCGTCACAAAGAGCGAAGACGAAAACGACACGACACTATCAGTGTATATTGCTGATTATTATCATAATTGACGTTATTTTCAATCGCGAACGCGAGAAACCCGGAAAACTGTGGGAAAAACTTTAAACCCGACAAGACCGAAGCGCGCCGTACAGAACAATTAGATTTCAGAAACTGTTCACTCCACATCATCAACCAGGCCCAGACACCTGCGTCTTTTTTTCTATAATAGAAATGCGAATCGACAGGCAAAAAAGTTGAAGCAGTGAGCTCTGGAAAGAAAATAATATTGATGATTCATTCTTGTTACACGTGAAAAAAACCTTTGGTGTGTATTATTAGCTTTTTTGAGTGATAACTTATTTAGTCGTATTTTAATACAAACATAAAATATAGCTGGGATTACTTAAAATGAGGTTGGAACCTAGATGTTTTTAAAACAATAGTTTTCAAGGGTTATCACCACCAGTTACGTACGAATGGTTCCTCAAAACGCGAAAAACACTTCCGGATTTTTGAATCATATTTCGACAGTAGATACATATTGTCAATTACAATCATGGTTTTTCTGTAAAGTTTGACTATCTCGTGATCCGGAAACAGACCATACAGGTAAAACTGTAGAACGCGGCAGATACGTTAATTTAACAAGGATTGAATACAAAACAATTGAACCCGACCAATGCCAAGTCTGGCGCCTATTTGATTCAAAGTTAGCGGGAAATGTATCAACAAATAACTATAGACCAGTCAAACAGGTGGATAATATTTGCAGAGAAAAATGCTCAAAATCAGACCTCGTTTTGTTATTGATTTACTAGGTCATGTTGAACATTATTTACTATTCACACATTTATAAATTACAGTGAAAAAAATTACAAAAAGTCCTTACAATATTAGGTGACCTGACCCTTAGTAGATATGGTCAATCATCAATTAAGACTTTATTTGTAAGCAAGGTGCAGAATATATATATATATATATATATATATATAGAAGAAAGAATATATATATACAAAACAGATACATAGTTTTAAATTCCTGAACGTCAAAAATAGCAAACGTATATAGCTTTTTTGTCCTCTGCCTTTTTCGATCCCAACTTTCTTATCCCAAACGCCATCAATACCTTCAGACATTTTACCCCTTATTAGTTTTTCCATTATATCTAGTGTTTCAAATTCGTCTCTCACCACTTTGATCTCGGAAACGGTAAAAGGTACGTAGTCAGTTAAATTAGGGCAAAATGAGAATTTACGAATTTAGATAACTAAGTACCGTATTGTCAGTCGCTCCTACGATTGTAGGACGCCTTTATGGCCTCCTTGATTTTCACAGCTTTTCCTGTCCTTCAGAAAGGCAGGGGTGTTTCTAAATTTCTACTGTTTCGTGTAAGCGCCCTATTTTGAAGTTATATCTTCTTTTTGAATTCTAAGACATTTCAGGCTGATGGAACT